GTGTGGGCCTTTGGGTAGTGTGGGTGGCATATAAATTAAATAAATAAATAAATAAATAAATAAATAAATAAATAAATAAATAAATAAATAAATAAATATCTGGAGATCCAATATTTGTAACCACTGTGCTGCACCTTTATGTACTGTACGTCATGACATCAAGAACTAAGAGTACCTCTACAGGGTTTCCTGTTCTAGCCCACAGAGGTCTTTTCTGGAATCAAATCAAATGTAATAATGTCTCCGTCATTGTACAGGGGCTTGTATAACTCCAACGTCTAAGAATATACACCAAGTATACTTTTTGGCAGTTTTTTCTTAACCCTGTAAATTAAGGTAAAACTTGGGCATAATCAGTTATGACAAGTTACAGCTTCTGTTCAAGAGCCAGAGGGAGACAAGGAACACATGTTAAAATGATCCTACAGTAAATCTAACAACTTTGGAAATAAGTGTTATTTTTTAATAGATTTTATTGGTTCTCTCTAGTGCTTGCTACTTTTTATATTCGCTTTGCACTTCTGAAAACAATCACATTTTTATTGTTGCTGCTTTTGCTACTGTTGCTGCTATTATTATGATTGATTAGGATTTTCCAGAATTTATTTTTGAATATAATAAAGACAAAACAAAACAAAAGAATGAGCAGTGACATTAAGTCTAGAATTAGGTGCTTACCATGTTTTGGAGCAAAGGTTTCTTAATAAGGCAATGGTGGTGCTTAATACAACAGTAACATTCTCATTTAAAAATGAAAGCTCACAATTGATTCCTAGGTAATTAGAGAATGAAGCATTCCATTAGGCAAGATAGCTTCTTCTTGCATTTGATGGCCCTCTATATGAACTCTTGAATTGCTGACACTGCAAATTGACCTTGATAATAACAGTGGTTTATTTTTAAGCATGCTCTCCCGGCTGAGGAGCAGTCAGGGAACCAGGAAATGCATTATTAACTTTCTTTTGGAAAAGGATTATAGACTTTACAGTTCCTATTATCTGTTTTTCTTTAGAAAATGGGCCCTGCTTGGGATTCAGGAAACCCAAACAGCCTTATCAGTGGCTGACCTATAAAGAGGTGAGATTCATATATTTTATTTTTTTTCCTAATATAGCAAACAAATGAATTAGAACAGAGCTCTTGAAAAAAATGTGTAGTGGAGTCTTCCTTAACACAGTGCCCCTCAGATGTGTTGTTCTGTCTCTCTCTCTCTTTTGCATCTATAGGCTGCCTTTCTCCCAGTGAGGGGCTGAGGTGGCTCAACATGTTAAAACAAGTCACACTAAAGTTCCTTTCATGCCAGCTGGTAATGAAGAAAGTTGTTGCATAGCCCATATGGAGGCTACTACACTGGAAAAGCTGTTCTAGTCCAGTGTATAGCATTAGGGCTGTTTATATTCTGTCTCACACAAAATCCACATCAAGACAGATTCTTCACAGAGAGTGTGATTTCACTGGATTGTGTCATCCTTGATCTGTGCCAGTGCAGATTAATAGTTGCACATTTTTAACTTAATCTCTAGTAACTGAGAATGGCTGAACAAATTATTCCATGGTATAATTGTGTTCAATTCAACTTTTTAGAAGAATTTGGAATTCCTTTGCCAAAAGCTGGGAGGGGTCTCCTGGGATTCCTTTTGGGAAGAAAAGCAAGATAGAAATAAGATGGATGGATGGATGGATGGATGGATGGATGGATGGATGGATGGATGGATGGATGGATGGATGGATGGATGGGATAGGATAAGATGGGATAGGATAGGATAGGATAAGATAAGATAAGATAAGATAAGAATGTAGTCATTGGAGATTGGTGGGGGCAGGGTTCCCTTGATACATTATGATATGTTATTAATATGTTTTAATTCCATGTTAAGGCTTAAGTAAGCCTTGACTTGCCTCAGAGTAGTCTGTGAAATGTTTCCATGTTTGTTCTTTTTAAGCATTTTCTTTCACTTTTAGGTTGCTGAAAGAGCAGAAGCACTGGGATCAGGCTTACTCCAGAAAGGATGCAAACCATCAACAAGTCAGTTTATTGGGGTCTTTGCACAAAACCGGCCAGAGGTAAAGCGTAAGAAAGCCAGCATCTTACTTCCACCTTGACATTTTATTCATATTTATTGCCAAATGTAACATATTTTTCATCATTTCCTTCCAGTGGATCATTTCTGAGCTGGCTTGCTATACCTATTCCATGGTTGTGGTTCCCCTGTATGATACGTTAGGCCCTGGAGCCATTCGTTATATTATCAACACAGGTAAAAAATAAAATAGATTTATTTATATAAATAGCTTCTGAGTATACTATTTTTGTTGTGTAAAACAGCAGCCCATTTGGCTGTTTAAAAGGAGACATATTTAAGAAGCAACCATTCGTTTACTTCTAGTGAAATGAGATTCAATCGGAGTTCCCAGCCTTGGGTCCTCAGATGTTCCTGAACTCCCAGAAGCCTTCACCACTAGCTACACTGGCCAGGATTTCTGGGAGTTGTAGTCTAATAACATCTGGAGACCCAAGGTTGGGACCCGCTGTTGCAGAGGAACCAAGAAGATCTTGCACCAATACATTTTGTTGAGAAAATGGTTACAAATGGCTGTTTTACTACACTTCTGCACAAGAACCAACTCTGCTTTTGGAAATAATCATTTTCTCCATGCTAAAAAGTCAGAATTTCAGCAGGGGAATCAAAGCTAATCATATCACAGAATCAACAACAGCAGACATCCAAGCGGGAATTTAAATGTTAACTACTAGTATATTTAGAGATGAGCTTATCCATTTTGGCTTTATTTTTGTTAATTAAATCATGACATGGTGTAATATGTCATGTGTTGTTGTTCAGCTGAGGTTATATTTACCTAATTTTCAGACCTGCTAAGGACCAGATGATTTTATGTCCTGATATAGAATTCAAAGAAGGTGTACTTTCTTTTTCACATGACTGTATATAGGTTTAACTGATTAATCACTTTGCAAAAGTCAGTACCCCCAAAATATTTTGATATCTCCTTGGACTGTGTCACCACTTTCCTTGGAGGAATATGGCTTTGAAAAAAGAAAGAGCTAAGGAAACATATCTGACATTACAGTATTATTAAATCACTGTGCTTGCTGCCTGGGGAATTCTTGGTACAGTATTCCAGAAATACAAATCTGCACACTCTTATTACTTCTGTAGGGAATCACTAACATCTGACTATCCTTGAAGACTCCATAAGTAATAATAATAGTAGCAGTAATAGTAACATTGCAGCATCTTTAAGATTAACAAGTTTATTTATGTACTTCTCAGCCACAGTTTAGGAAGTAATGGCTAGAATCTTGTTGCTTACAGACACCAGTGCAGTGGCTTAAATCACAATGATTTATTGCTAGTTATGGAGTCTCTGCTTGTATTTTCCATCACATCTCAAATCAGTTGACTAGCATATAATGAGGAGTAAAAGGGTGACTCCTTAACTACTGGCAACTCACTGCTATGGTTTATGCCTTGCAGTTATGATGGTGTGTGCAGTCAGTTTCTGGTCAATAGCAACTGAAATGAGCTTACCATATACAGTCTAGCACAGGTTGCAAGTACAAAAGTGAGAAAGAGAGAAAAATACACTTTCCTAGATAGTTATATAGACCTGTTAAATTGTTCAAGATGAGAGATCTCATACCAATACATACAGCTTTGCCTGTACTCTCCATAATGATGGAAGGAGTTTGTTGCTGTGGCTAAAATACAGATAAGACTTTTGGTGTATTTTTTTGCAGTCTGGATTGGATGAGGTTTTGGAGAGGGGGAGATATAAAGTGGTTATTTGCCTACTTATGTAGTCTGGGATGTAGTGCTCTCGGGATGTATATATAGTCTTGAGTATATGATTTTTGGAGGTTCCCAGTGTGGTGTAGTGGGTAGAGTGATGGATTAGGAAAACAGGGTTCAAACCCCTGCTTAGTTATGGAAACTCACTGGGGGAGTGGAACTGGAAAACCCACTCCTTGAATATCTCACTTAACATTAAACCCTACTAAGTTGCAATAAGTCAGTTCCAACTTGATGGCACAGCTCACACAAACAGGTTTTTTGGAACAGGTAGTTCTTTGGGTATTTCTGTATACAGTCTGGAGAATATAACTCCAAGAGGGGTGGCTCTTGGGTTTGTGGCTCTTGGGCAAGGTGATTTGGCTCCAGGTATCATAAGTTTCACTAACTACCAATAGATTTGCCTATCATTAGTTGTATTGTTAATGCCTACCCAGCCAATAGGCGCTAGTCACCACTGTATACATGTATCTCTGCATAATTGTCACACAAACATTTTCTATAATTTTAGAGAGAAAAAAACTCAGTTGATTCAGTATAATTGTCTGAACATTGTTTTGCTTGTTTGTTTTAGCTGACATTTCTATAGTAGTTTGTGATAAACCCGAAAAAGCCAAAGTCCTGTTAGAAAATGTAGAGAAAAAAGAAACTCCGGGCTTGAAATTCATTATTTTGATGGACCCTTTTGAGAAGGATCTTAAAGAAAGAGGACAAATGTGTGGAGTTCATATCCAAGCTATGCAGGAAGTAGAGGTGAGGTTCTCTTGCACTGCTTTATTTACCTGATGTTAAACAGTGTTTGAAAAGAGTGTATAATAACAATATATTAATGTACGTGTAATATTTCCTCCTATTCTGTTATGTTCCTCTCTTCCACACAAGACAAATCAAGATTAGCTCCAGTGCCATCAAGTACAGTTGATTGGTTGAGATGTTAAAGATGCCTAAAGTAGTAACAGGAGACAATAAATTTAAAAATTTTGGTGCAAAAAACTGACTTGCCATTTTTTAAAAGTGTCCTTGTTTGATATCACAACATGACATAAGCAAAGAAAAGGGACATGAAAAGCATCCACAGAGCAAGAGACATACAGCTCCTGAGACAAGGGAAACCTAGTCTGAAGATTTTAAACCATTATCTTTTGATTCAATTTTTTCAGGACTGTGGTCGAGAATGCCGGCATGCCCCTGTTGTAAGTATAAGCTTTTCTTCCTTTCTCCCATAATACTGTGGATTGTGCTCATAAATAACCCACCATTCGCATCCATGAGCCTCATTGAAATTAATGAGGGCTGCACATAAACCAGTTTGTTTCTTCGGGCACATCCCATTTCTTCTAATAGAAGTTTATGATGCAGGCAATTGTGGATTGTTCCCAAACTTTGTAAAATCTGCACTTTAAACATTTCCCAGTACAAATTGCTTTCAAATGGAATAATTGGCTTATATCAAGCATATTAAAATGGTGTGTTGTAGGTAGGTTTACTCCTCCACCACCACCTTTGAAAGGGAGAAGACATGAAGGAGTCAAAGTAGGAGAAGCTTGGTGGAGGGGATCAGGGGAGATTTGGTTTGGTAATTTTGGTAAACTCAAAATTAGGGAAAGCTGGTGTGACTTTGATCTCATGACAAATATTGAACTAAAGCATGATGGCAACTTCAGAATTGTACTGTTGTGAAAGTCTGAACAGCTGCAAGATATTTGCAGACTTGGGGTTTAACATTACTGGGTATACCATCACTAAAACTCACAATACTAGATAAACATCTTTATTCAGAGGTACAGTGTGTCCCATTGTCTTCAGTGGAATTTAACCTAAGTAAATACATGTATGATCACATTTGAAAACTTCAACATGATAAACTATTAACCAAAAAATATCTGCTTATACTTGGAGCAAAGCCCTGTGGGAAAAGGAAGACTCAATATTAGAAAGAGGAAACACTACGGAAACTTACTATAAATTTCTTGCAATCCTGAATCTGTTAAAGCAGGTCAGTCCTATACACAAAATAGGGAAGTCATTAATTTTTCTTCTGATCTTTTTAGCCACCTCGACCAGAAGATCTGTCAATTGTATGTTTTACTAGTGGCACTACAGGTAAATATTATCTCTTCTGTGATTGTTTTCCCTGACTTTAATAAGGAGATACTGTACAGAAATAATATTTAAACACCTATTGAAACAATAGGCAAATAGATACCAGATATCAGATGTGAATTAAAGTTAGAATGTATGCATTTGATTTGTAAATGGATATATGTATACAAATGTGTGTGTGTATAAAAGTTGAAAAGAGGATTGCCTCTTCCCTATTGCCTAAACCAGAGGTTTCCCACCTTTTTTGAGTCACCATCACACTCAAAGAATACAGAAATAACTAAGAACTCTAGGTTGCCTGTAAGTCCAGTTCAGATTAAAATTATCTTATCTGTGGGCCAAGAGAATTAAAAAAAAACAGTATTGTGTGTGCCATATTTAATATAAGAAACATATAAATAATTTCAACTAAAAATGACCTCCAAGAAATCATTTTGTGAACCCCTTGGTTGGGAATCCATGGCCTAAATCTTTTATCTTCCACCAAGTTGAGTTTGCACCACTGTCCCTAAATGTCCAAACAGAAGTTCAAACCAATCTTCAGTATGTCTTTCCAGCCCAAAGCTGATCAAGTCAGTTAGCTCTGTATGCTGAGTTCTCCACTTTTCCATAACCCTACTTCTATGGTTATCATTCCATTGCAGTTTCTCGCCTTTCAGCCTGATTCTTGCCAGTTTATACATATGATTGAGGCACTCAATACTGTAGAAGTAAAGGTACTGGAGATACAGGAACTATCCCATGTCCACCATGCCTTTCCAGAAGATGGGATCTCCCTGTGCCTCCACAAATGTGCAGGGTCAGCTTTTGTTTCTGAGCGTCAAATGATAATCTGAGATATTCTGAATGTCACCAAAATAAATCGGGATGATATTTGTTTCACTTGGCAGGTAGAAGATCTAGTCTACAGAGAATATTAAAATGGTTTCTCTCAAATTACTGTAAAGTATAGTTTACAAATAAAAATTTCCAGTATTTCTCTATTATTTCTTCTTTATAATCTACCTGCTGACTAAGTATTCTAATTTCTAAGTATCTTATCATGTTTCCTACAAGTCTAAGGCCTTCACCTTATGACACATCTTTACTGTACGTTAGTTTGTGATGAAAGAGAGAAATACTATATTAGGGAAAAAATCATATTCTTTCTCTTACTTGTATATTTCTTCATCAAATGCTTCCTTTTGAATTAAACTATTACTTTAAGTGAACTAATGTCATATTAATCTTGGAACTGCAGAGCTGGATGGGACCCTATGGATCATCAAATCCTTGATTCTTGCTTGTTCAAAGATCAGTTGAGGGCTATCATTACTGCTGAACATAGTGGAGAACAGAGACTATTAAGCAAGGTTGCTGTAATTACTTTGGCTGTAGATCTACAGCATACAGTAAATAAATTTTTAAAAGCATTCAGAAGCAGTTTGCTTGACAGGGTAGTTTCAGAACAAGCATATTGTTTTAACCTATCCTTTAGGTATAGTTGATGAATACTTCAAAGAGATCCCACTGAAGATAGCTTTAGTGTGCTGTGGCAGAAGATCAGATAGAAAAGCACACCACTGGGAATGGAAAATACCTTTGTGGTGTCTTCTTTAGGCACTTTTGGTGATTTATATTAAGAGTTTTGCCCCCTTGCCTTCTTTTTTAAAAAATGTCTCTTTCTGAAAGGCTATTTCATAGAAAGCATTCAAAATTACTGCTAAATAAACTTGTGATCCTTTCATGGATCAACTGGAATATGAGCTGATCAAGAGTCAATTGTTGAGAGAGTCCAGTGTAATTGGTCCTCTCTAATTTTATGTATATATCAGGCATGCAGCATGTTCATATATTAAGTAACAGAAATTCTACTTAACCAACATTGTTTGCATTGGGGAGGGGGGATTATGTTGTCAGTAATATGGTTTGTGTGTCCTAAGTTTCTGCTACTTTTCCAGGTAACCCTAAAGGTGCAATGCTGACACATGGGAATGTGGTTGCGGATTTTTCAGGTTTTTTGAAAGTGACTGAGGTAAATATTGTACTTATTTATTTTTTTGATCAGCAAAAATTGGAAGCAGAATGACCTGTGTAAATTATATTAATGTGGAAACATCTACAAGATGTGAAAGTGTCTCTTCTAAGGGCCAGTCTTGTCCCTAAAGTGCTCTTGTCAAGATTTTTCTGTGGAATAAAGAAGCCACCAAAATAATTCAACATCCTTAATAGCAACATTAGCTTGAGATGACCTGTGATATTTATCACATCCATAAAAGATCTCAAAAGGCGTGTCTAACTAAGGAACTAACAATTCTGTTTATTGTTTCTCTTGGTTTTATACCGAATCAATGCCATTGTTTTGGAAGATGCAGGACAGAATCAAGTCTTACTAGTATAAATAATATATTACACATCATCAGATCAGTTCCAGTTTATGACAGTACTTTCAGTGGCTTCCCAGGTACACTCATTACTCAAGAAGAAATTTATCATTCCTTTATTCTCGGGGCACCCTGGGACTGTGCAGTTTATCCCTGAACACACAGGATGGCTCTTCTCCTACAAGGCTCATTGGAGAATCAAACCCTTGACCTCTGGAGTGCTGCATCTCACTGAACTATCTAGCCGGCTTTGAAGAATAAATTTTCAATGCTGTTGTCAGTCCAGAGTCATAAAAGGATTGTTGACCCATTGTTTTATCCATACTTAACCACACCGAGAAAGCACTGGACTGTTAGAGAACATTTCATAAAATGAGGTACATGCTCAGTTTCTCTTTTGTTTCTGATATTCAGAAACAAAAGAGAGTTATTCAGAGAAACATTGCTATATAGTTCTGTAAAATATTGAACAGGAATACGTTTTATATCTGGTTTTGTGATTACTATATTTTTTGCTATTTCCGTTTAATCATCAAGATACTTTAATAATTTTGAAAAGGATAGATGTATTTTTAAAATATTTTATTTTATTGTGCCTTTTTTAGCACATGACTCTTAGGAACTTCACATTTTATAGCAGTTTTGTTTTACAGAAATTATTTTTGAGTGTTTTGATTTACTTTCTCTGAATGCATTTTGAACAAATGAAGGAGACTTAATAAAATGTTGGCCCCAAACACTTTGAGATGAGGGAAGCAAATGCCTGCTAAGTATTAACTTACACAGAATTTAAAATAGATACTCAAATGAATATACAAGTCTTAGTAGATATCAACAATGTCAAGAATGCAGTATTACTTTATTAAAATGGCCATTATTTTCTCTGGTAGGATTGCTGCATCTTTAACAACCTGATAAACAAGTGTAATTGATCGGTCTTCTTTACCGAAATCCAATTGCTGAGGTACACAAATCTTGCTGTGCAGTTATGCACAACTTGGCATGCAACAGATAATGACCATGGATATTTCTTAGTTTACAGCAATTCACATCTAAAAGTTATGCCATTGGCATTAGTGCACGGCAGGATTTCCGTCATTGTATCACATCCTCTACTGTGTTCTGTTTAAGAATATCCTACCTGAATATGCCAAGAAGAGAATCTAGAACCATGTGCATGCAAAGCATGTGCTCTGTCAAGGAATCGTGCTCCTTCTTATCTGGCAGCTGGAGATGTGCAAAGAAACATGCTACTGAGGAAAAAAGAAACATGGCAACCTTATGATGTAATCCTGTGGTGTGGATCTTCTGAATACCTGCTAATGCTAAAATGGGTGTCAGAAAACAAGCCTAAACCATTGTGCACCTACAATGTGCAAAAGGGAATAGATGGAACTTGATGACAGACCACATGCTTTGCATGCCAGAAGTCTGACAATTTATCCTTGACATCTCCAGCTAAGGCTAGAGGAGATTCCTGTCTGAAACTCTGGAGGCCATATTTGCCAGTCAGTGCCAACCGGCCACTTGGCTCATTATAAAGCATCTCTGTATGTTCCTTGTCCTTGGTGTGTGTATATTAGACACTTTATTAGGTTGCTTTGTAATTGGGCACTTTTGCTGGAAACCCTTTGATGACATAGAGAAATGTGCCCTGCTTTTGGACTATCTCGGAGCAATAGAAGTGTCAAGGAGAGACCGCACAATGCTCTTTGGGCTGGAGGCTTTCGATTTGCAGTCCAAGCATTTTGATGAAAGGGCATATCCAACCTTTCGGGAGACACCTGCCCTTGCCTGTGCAGTGGAGGAGAGCTCTCTCTGCATACCCATCCTTGTGTCACTACTCACCACTCTTGCTAACATAGATCCATCAGTGTTGTGGCCTAACACACATTACTTCAAACACTGTTCTCTTTTTCTTGCTTAATAATCTTTTACCCCCTTTTGCTCCTCTTGGTGCCATGTTTCTTTTTATTTTATTTTATTGTTTTATGACTTTCTTGTTGTGTCTTCCTGTCAGTGTTTCTTTCCTTTCTGTCTCCCATGCCCTTCATCTGCAGAAAGTGATCTTTCCGAGACAGGACGATGTGCTCATCTCCTTCCTGCCTTTGGCTCACATGTTTGAAAGAGTGATACAGGTAAGAAACCTGTCTAGACTGACCTGGGCCTTGCGGGGCTCCTTGTTGTGTTTTTTTTTCCAGAGTCAGTGGTCTCCTACATTTGAGGATGTACACATTTCCTATTTGCCCTTAGCACACATGTTTGAGAGAATGGTACAGGTAAGGTTGTAGTGTCAGTGGAGATCCACTTTCTTCCCCTGACCAATAAATACATCTATGCATAAACAGTGGGATGCTTCAAATGGAATGCCAGAGTATAGTTCAGTATTACAAGAACAAGCAAAGCCTCATGCTGGGTTCATGTCCACCATCCCCCAATATTACCATGAGGAGTTTGAAAGATCATATTTCATATTAACTACAACTGGTTGTCTTATTCAGCCCTGGAGGAATTGTGATTCAAATTGAACTGCAGTTAATGGGAACAAGCCAACCTGAGGCCATTTCTTAAATGCTACATCTGGTATTTCAAGAAATTGTGTCCAAAATATGTCTTTCTGTTGCTTTCCAGCAGTTAGCATTGGAAACCAACCATGTAGATCAATTTGCAAATCATGCTAATACAGCAGGGATGAGCGATGTATGGGCTTTCAAATGTTGCTGAACTGCAGTTTCCATGATACATTGCATTGGCTGTGTAGACTAGAGCTGACGGGAACTGCAGTTCTGCTCCTGGATAACTGCATATTCCCCAGCTATGTGATAAAACATGCTAATCTGGAAAGAGTTATTAGGCATATTTGGATATATTTCAAGTATATTTCTTTATAATGGTCTTTTCACATAAGACATTTCATCCTATGTGGAAGTGGCCTTAACTGTTGTGGGTATGTACTTGAATTAATGTAGTTAGCTGTAGAGCTAGGCAAAGGATGATAAAGACAATGGCATTCTGTAGAATCATAGAGGGGTTTTGTTTTTTGAAAGGTGCCGTGATAATAGCAATTGCCACTCAATTTGTTCAGAAATCTTTCAGTGCTCAAAAATTGTTTCCCTTGCAAATATGTATTTGAGGAAGGAAGAATTTATTTGTGTGAACCGATCCATATTGTTTCCCAAATCAAGGAGAATCATTCATTAATACCTAAATTCTTAGAAAGTATCCTTTAAAAGGTACAAGAGGAATAGGCATGTTAATGTATGTGAACTAAGGAAATCAATCTATTTTCTTTGCTCTCCCCACCAGTCTGTAGTGTATTGCCATGGGGGCCGAATTGGCTTCTTCCAAGGAGACATTCGTCTGCTGTCTGATGATATGAAAGCACTGCGCCCAACCATCTTTCCTGTTGTGCCAAGACTGCTGAACAGAATGTATGACAAGGTAACATTCACATTCATATTGGTGATTTATTTTAAGCCAGTGATGATCTACACCTTTTTCTTTTGACTTCTCTAGGCAAGGGGTCAGACTTGGCATATTGTGTGTGCTACATCCGTTATGCTACACTGAACTGTTGCTCAATTTGTGCATGGTAAGGTGGGGGGGGGGAGAGAAAGCCTGCAAACTTTACATTTTTGTACCACAACACCTAGAATCTCCCGACCAGCATGACCCCTAAGGGGATTCAATGAACCAGAGCATCCACTGTTTGGGCCTGGTGTTTTATGAAAGGAAACAAGCGTTTCTATGCTAAATGCCACTGCACTTTCCTTTGACTTCCCTCAACTAAGCAGGGCATAGAAAGTGGGTAACCCACAGTAAAATGAATGCAGACTGGGCAATTATGGGAGTTGTGGTCCAGAAAAGGAACCCTTCCAAGCTCTGATATATTATGTCCCTTAAAGCATTTTCTGGTTTGGCAGAAGGATGGGCCTCCATAACTTTTAGTGTCCCTTCCAGCACTACAGTTCTATAGGTCTACGCATCTATGATCCTGTGGCCTTCCACAAACATTAAGGCCGACCCTGGGGGAAAATGCTAATGGAAAAACTAAGGAGCATAAGTTATGATTCTGCTTCTTGTATTTTTTGTGATTGAATATATGGTTGCTGTAAATATTAGATTTCTGGAAAGAGGATTTAGACAATGAAGAGAAACACCCAATCATGTCCTACGCAAAGAACTAATTCTACATGTATTTGTCTTGGTATGTCTTCTTGAGCTTACTGCGATATATATTCTGTTAAATTAAATTGCTGTTACATCATAGTAAATATGCATAACAAATTGTTATGTCTCTATTCATGAGGAAGTAGAGATTGGCTGTTAGGCGACATGGTCAGTGATTATTCTAGATGGTATAGTCCCAAGAGTAAGTTTTTAGGCTCTGTAAATTGATGTACTGTATATGGTAAAATGTTTAAATGCATATTTGCTATGGTTAACTTTGGATGTAAGTATTATTTGGTATGTATTAATGTTGTTGTGTATTTTATGCAGGTTGTTTTTTTGGTGAAAAGCACTTTTAGCTTTCCCCCTACAAAACAACTTTTAAAGAGGAGAATCATTCATTAATACCTAAATTCTTAGAAAGTATCCTTTAATAGGTACAAGAGGAATAGGCATGTTAATGTATGTGAACTAAGGAAATCAATCTATTTTCTTTGCTCTCCCCACCAGTCTGTAGTGTATTGCCATGGGGGCCGAATTGGCTTCTTCCAAGGAGACATTCGTCTGCTGTCTGATGATATGAAAGCACTGCGCCCAACCATCTTTCCTGTTGTGCCAAGACTGCTGAACAGAATGTATGACAAGGTAACATTCACATTCATATTGGTGATTTATTTTAAGCCAGTGATGATCTACACCTTTTTCTTTTGACTTCTCTAGGCAAGGGGTCAGACTTGGCATATTGTGTGTGCTACATCCGTTATGCTACACTGAACTGTTGCTCAATTTGTGCATGGTAAGGTGGGGGGGGGGAGAGAAAGCCTGCAAACTTTACATTTTTGTACCACAACACCTAGAATCTCCCGACCAGCATGACCCCTAAGGGGATTCAATGAACCAGAGCATCCACTGTTTGGGCCTGGTGTTTTATGAAAGGAAACAAGCGTTTCTATGCTAAATGCCACTGCACTTTCCTTTGACTTCCCTCAACTAAGCAGGGCATAGAAAGTGGGTAACCCACAGTAAAATGAATGCAGACTGGGCAATTATGGGAGTTGTGGTCCAGAAAAGGAACCCTTCCAAGCTCTGATATATTATGTCCCTTAAAGCATTTTCTGGTTTGGCAGAAGGATGGGCCTCCATAACTTTTAGTGTCCCTTCCAGCACTACAGTTCTATAGGTCTACGCATCTATGATCCTGTGGCCTTCCACAAACATTAAGGCCGACCCTGGGGGAAAATGCTAATGGAAAAACTAAGGAGCATAAGTTATGATTCTGCTTCTTGTATTTTTTGTGATTGAATATATGGTTGCTGTAAATATTAGATTTCTGGAAAGAGGATTTAGACAATGAAGAGAAACACCCAATCATGTCCTACGCAAAGAACTAATTCTACATGTATTTGTCTTGGTATGTCTTCTTGAGCTTACTGCGATATATATTCTGTTAAATTAAATTGCTGTTACATCATAGTAAATATGCATAACAAATTGTTATGTCTCTATTCATGAGGAAGTAGAGATTGGCTGTTAGGCGACATGGTCAGTGATTATTCTAGATGGTATAGTCCCAAGAGTAAGTTTTTAGGCTCTGTTGTGAATCTCTTTCCCAATATAGCATAGCAGTAAAACAGAACCACAGCTAATGGCGTTGGGGGTTTAAGAAGCAGGAGACAGAGTGAACTGGCACTTCTCTGTGTGTATGTGTGCATGTGTGTGTGCGTGCATACTTGCACGCACGTGTGTGTGAAGCCTTAATAGGGCAAAAAAAGAGTTAATCTATGATTGTTTAAAGTTATAAGATATTTAATCTGGATCTCTGAAGAAAATGACACCATGTTTTTATCCCTGATTTGTGCAGATTGTCCTTATTTTCCTCTGCCTTTTTTCTTGCAGAACAGGTGAATGTGTGTCACTCATGGGGGATTTCTGTAACATTCTCATGCAGGGTTTTAGTTTTAGTTCTCCTTTTGTTTGCCATCAGTAAAATCAAATTTAGTTTAAATGTTTTCCTGGTTATTAATGTTTCAAGTGGTCCAGCAAATTTGCTGACTCTCTGAGGCAATTACTTCATTCAGAGTTTTACTTACGTCTTAGTTCCTTCATCAAAACAGCAGATCCCAATGACACCATATTAGAGGTATACTGGAATTTGACACATGCCTTGCAGAATTTTTGTATACATATAAAAATCCAACTAGAAATCACATCCCTGTTTATAAACCCTGGTTTAACAAGCAATGTACTATAGCGAAAAATATTCTGGTGGTAAAATATAGGTCATATAGGGAACAAAATTTGACAAGGATTCCTGCTAAATGGGTTGTGATGAAAAGAAAGCACAAAGCTTTAATGAAGATGAAAATGTTTCAGGCACAGAGAGACCTGTGGCAGCATTTAATAACTGCATCAAAACTAAATGATTCAGCCTTCTTTTGGAGGATAGTTGCCAGAGGCTTGCATAACCATTCAACCAAATGTGATTCCTGTATTTCTAAAAATGCATGGGATCATGTTTTCAGAGCATTTATGCAATGGATCAAGAATGTTCCCAGGTTTTGCAGAGAAGTTTGAATTGTATAGGAGAGTGGTTACCAGTATACATCTCAGAAACTACCAAGCTGAACAACTAAAATCAGGCAAAGCTCCAGATGCTGATAGTTCCTAAACACTGTATTTATAACTTGAAACCTGTTCTATGGGGTTCCCATTACAGTGGTGCCTCGCTTGATGACGATAATCCGTTCCGTTCAAATCGCTGTTAGGCGAAATCGTCGTCAAGCAAAATTTAAAAAAACCATTGAAACACATTGAAAACCGTTCAGTGTGTTCCAATGGGCAAAATACCTCATCGTGCAGCAAAGATCCTTCATCAGGTGGCCATTTTCCGATACCTGTATAGCGAGGAATCCATCCTAAAAACAGTGGGGAGCCATTTTGCACAGCGGGCTGCCATTTTGCAACCCGCTGATCAGCTGTTTGGAAATCATTGTAATGCAAAGAATCGGTTCCATGATCGTCGTGAAGCGAATTTTCCCCATAGGAACATCGTTTTGCGATCACAATAGCGATCACAAAAAAACATCATAAAGCGGATTTGTCATTTAACGAGGTAATCGTTAAGCGAGGCACCACTGTAATTGTCTATTTGTGCTTAGATCTATTTTTAGTGAAAACCAACACTTTACTCTTAGAATAATTGATCTTTAACAGTTCCTCACTTCAGTATGAGTTCAGTGCCCTCAAAAGTATCCTTAAACCAGTGCTAGTTAGAGACAATAACCCAGCAGCAGAAGCAGCATATAAGAAAGTGGACGAGTGGCCAAATTAAGTAGATGAAAATCAGGATTTGTCAAGCTTTTCACTACTGACTTAATACAGAAATTAAACACTGTGGGGGCTAAGATACAACCCTATTTGACACCATTAAAAGTGGAATCTAGACAAGATCCCAGAATGGTTGCAGTTCACCCGTAGTCTTTCATTTTCACATAGGTGATGCATAAGCAGCAGTAACAAGTTCTCAAATTTGAACCATAATTTGTCTCTAGATCTATTAATACTGGTGTTCTCAAATTTGAACCATAATTTGTCTCTAGGGATAAGATTGAACACTGACTTAAAGTCAATGAAAACTGAAAAAAGGGCACTATCATTTGGTGAGACATATTTATCTACCAAATGCTGAAGGATAAATCGCTTGTTCATCGTTGACCTTCCTGTTCTAAATCCAGCCTGTTCTTCCTCAAGAATGTTTCTAAATGTAACCAATTTTTCAAGCAGAGGATGAACTGTACTGTAGTTTTCTAATAATACTCAACAAACTACTGTAGTTGGATGATAATGGGCAAGGCCACATCTGTTTCTTTTCGTTTTTACTGGGATAATGATGGCTAAGCCCAAATGCTGTGGGATACATGCTGTTAGGTCAATCCATGTGAACAAAGATGCCAAGACTGGGGTCTACCAGTCTAAGTTAGCCTCTGATAGACCAGAGGGGATATTATTCCAAGGTTAAAATACATTGAGTACAGGTTGCTGTCCTCTGAAGATGCCGGCCACAGAGACTGGTGAAACATCAGGAAGAACAACCTTCAGAACACAGCCAAAGAGCCCAAAAAACCCTGAACAACCATTAAAATACATTGGTAGGAAAGCAATGCAACAATTAGTGTTCTTAATTTGCATAATTCCACATCAATTCACATTGACATTATGCAAATGAATGTATTATGAAAATTGGACTATCTAATTTGAACACTATGCCAATTAAATTATTGAATTTGAAGAACTATTTATTTATTTATTTATTTATTTTATTTCTATCCCGCCTATCTGATCATATTAGACCACTCTAGGCGGCTTGATTTGAACACTATGCCAATTAAATTATTTAATTTGAAGAACTAGAACATAGCAAGCCTAATCAGCAGAGTTTCTTAGTGTTCTTCTCAGTATTGTGGTGTTGACTTTTGAATAAGCATGACGATGCTCATTATAATGGTCTCTTCTGTGTTTTATAATTGAGCACAGATTTCCAGCTAGGAGAAGGAGCTTGTGTGTTGACACTGAAATGCTGCAGTCTAATGTGAATAAAATCTGGTGTTCATTTTTTAATCTTTTCTTTTCTGCATATGGGGTTGTTTATGAAGTAGTTTCTGATGAATATTAGCTTGATTTGGCATAATTGTCCAATATTAACAAATATTAATAAATATAAGGACTAGCTGCAATTAGCTCATTAAAGAGCTGGGAACTTCTGTGCAGCTACCGGATGTTTTTATTGTGTTGCTACAATTTCTGAAATAATTCTATTGCTGTGCCAAGCTAATTGCATAATAGAAGCCCTCAGGACACCTTAATCTCTAAATATTTTTCCATTACTTTGTTTTCTTACTTGTCTTTCCCATTAGGAGGGAAGAAAAAGAAAGAAAGCATAATTCCAAATGAATTACAACAGAATAACTTTTGTTAGCTTTTAGCACTGACTTTGCTAAGATTAATTTACATAATAAATTGTACTCCTGGCATCTGCAAAGTTGTGTTCCACTTATGTCAGTTATGAATTTGTCTCCTTTCCTTTTTATCCATGTGAACTTCCATTTTCCCCCCTTCTGCCGTTTGATATTCTCTTAGATCTTCAGCCAAGCAGACACCCCACTGAAACGCTGGCTTCTGGAATTTGCTGCCAAGCGTAAAAAGGCAGAAGTTCAAAGTGGGATCATTAGAAATGACAGTATGTGGGACAAACTGTTCTTTAACAAAATACAGGTAAGCATCTGGTGCGGAAATGCTAGCTAACATGATAAAAATAAAGCTGACTTAAGAGCTCACTGGACATTTAAAAGGGGAATATTGAGCTTAAAAAGGGGTAAACTCTTCTTTGTGGTTTATGCTGGATTAGCATAGGAAAATTGGGGGATATCTTGGGTGATTTCAGGAGCAATCTCATTTCTTCATTTGCAGCCTTTGAAGCAATGGTTCTCAAATGTGTGGGTGCCCAGATATTGTTGAACTACAGTTTATAGACTTCTTGACCAGGCAGGCTGGGGCATTTGTAAGTTGACACCCAGTGATGTCTGCTCACTTAAATTTGGGAGACACTTTTTAAAGGATGCTCTCTACAGCTAGAGGGGACGGGGTTTTGTCTGCAACATCTGTTCAAATTTCAACCAGAAGAGAGTTGGGAGGTTTCTTGTAGTTCTGTTTCTTCGAGGTGTGGATTATTACCAAGCTCCTGAAGCTAATTTAGGCCTGAGACCTGGTCTGCCAGCAGGTCTCCTGTGACACAGTAGAATGATTTGCTTTTTTACCTCAAGGAAATTCTGCTTCTGCATGTGACCAGAATGGTGTTTCACTGATTTACATGGAGCATGTTGCAAGGAAAAGTACTGCTTAAGATTGCTACAAAGATGCCAAGCGTATTCTTGTCTTTTGACAGTTACAATAACTGTGAAATTAACAACAACAAAAGTTACCCTGAAATGATATCAGTATTATCAAAATAAATATTTTTAAATCTCTGAATAAGTAAGTCACTCCTTCAACATGTTCAAGTAGTCAGGGTTATGCTCAACAGATTGTTGTATATACTTTCTGGGTAAGAGAGCCATTAACAGAGCTCTGCTTATTTTTCACCTTTATTCCAAGTGTCTTTGTCTCCTTTCCAACCCAGACACCTCCTATTCCTTTTCTTTTTGTTGATTAATTTATTTGTTACACTTTTTAATCATTCCTGTTTAACTAAGATTCATGGATGAAAATATATTTTAAAAAAAATCTTTAAAAACAGGTTAAAATAATCAAAAATCAGTTAAAACCACCAAAGGCTTGATGGAATAATATAGTTTTGACCGCCCCTGAGGAGCTCAACAATGATACAGTTGCCCTAATTTCCTTCCCTAATTTCCACAATTGAGGTATAGCTAGAGAAAAAGCTGTGCTTCATGCATCTGCCAATTTAGCCTTTCTGGGTGGCAGGGAATGCATCCAGGCCTTTGCTGAAGATGTCCGATTCTCGATAGGCTCATATGGGAAGAGGCCCAGCCCAATTCTGTCTCTCACTGTCTCATGATGTCTACCCGTCCCACCTGCACATCATATACTGGGATACTGTGAGCAGTGAGCCTGAGGAAGGCCTGGAAATCTGCCACCCAAAACTGGGACTTTCATTGTTGGCTGCTTGAACTCCCTCCCTTCTGAGGTGCAGCCTTGCCACTAACCAGCTGGGTGGGGAAAAATATAAATATTTTTTTTAAAAAAGGATGGGTGGATTGGACAGAGAATCAAGCTCTTATTCAGAACCTGTCAGAAGGGCCACATAGTTTAATTGGGGCTTTGTGTGTGTTGTGGATTGTCAGGTAACACCTGGCTTACAGAGACCCTAATAGTGTTTTCAAAATATCAATGTAAGATATTAAGGAGCGGTTTTAACAGAGCCATTGTCCAGCGAACTTCCATGTCACAGTGAGGATTTGAACACAGTCCTAGTCCATCAGCTCTTAACAAGGGTTTTAGTCAATAATATTTGCAGTAGCCAATTGTGTTTTATCTAGCAAATAGTAATCAGAAATCAGAATGAAAGCACTAAACATAGCATTCATTTGACACAAGCAAAGAGAAAAACAGAATGCCTTATGGTTGATGGCCTGCCATCTGAATGCCTCTGCTGATCTTGTGATGGCTCCCCTCAGTAAAATAATTTTTTACCTACCAGTCTGCAGATCTGTTCAGCTTGTGCTTAACTAGATGGCATAGAGTGACAAGCTACTTCTCTATTTTTAGCTCAGGAGATCACTTGTTCCTTTAATCTGTGGACTGCTCACCCTCCGTTTGTAAATGATAAGAAGTAGAGACTGGTATGATCTGAATAGGACAAAGATTCTGAAAGGTTCCGCAAACTCCTTCTGGTCACATCTTTTCTGATTCTGACTGACCGATAAAAATCAAGGTGGCTAATGATAATATTGGCATGTTAATGACAAAAGTGCCCACACATAAATAAAATAGGCAGGGGCGGCTTAAAACAGTTAAATGTACGGGACACCATTTTGACCACAGTAGTTCTTACATTTGGGTTTTAAAGCAAACAGGAGATGAGTATAGCTGTTGCAGAATGGAATCCAGCAAATAGAAACCTGCAGGATTGTGCATTAAGAATCTTTTTCTTGCTTCCTTTGTCTGTGTACACCCCTTGACCAGTTCCTCTTGGTACATTTTGCAGCAAAATGACATGATCAATTTGCCACTCTCTTAAAGTTACCAATTGTTATAGAGGAGCACAAGGCTCCTCTAGATGTCAGGGACTCTTCCCAGCATGTAGAATAACTTTGATACAGTATAAGAACATAAGGGACTTGGAAGGTGACAGGTATGAATGGTAAGATCAGCAAGTGTATTCGAACTTTCTTTTAATGGAATGGCAGGCTGGTCTGGCCATTATGCCAAACAAGTTGTACTGACCGATATAATTTAAATTATGTTTGTACAGGGGATTCAAACATTATAATTGGTTTCAACTTTTTGCTTGTCTTCTAGGCAAGCCTGGGTGGTTGTGTTAGAATGATTGTAACAGGAGCTGCTCCTGCTTCTCCCACTGTCTTGGGTTTCCTTCGAGCATCCCTAGGATGTCAGGTATGTTGCACCTGGACTGTTACCAGTATGTGCTCCCCCACTGCTGAAATTACTTAATTGAGGATAGTCTTATTATTTTAATAAAACTATCAGATCAACTACAATGTTAACTGACAATGTTAACTACAATGTAAACTGACAGCTTTATAAAGATGAAACACATATACAATGGTGCCCCACAAGACGATGATAATGTGTTCCATTGAAATCGCTGTTTAGCGAAATCATCGTCTTGTGAAAAGCATTTCCCCATTGGAATGCATTGAAACCCATTTAATGCGTTCCAATGAGGAAAATAGTTGCCGTCGTGCGAAGATCGCCCATAGGGAAGCCATTCTAAATTGCTGTCTTCCGAAGCAGTGCCGAAAACACCCTAGGGAAGCCATTTTGCGGAGCTGCCGATCAGCTGTTGAATTAAACTGAACAATGGCTGGCTGCCGCCGCATGCCCCGTATTGCCGATAGCCCCTGGTGGAAGGGAGCTCCTCCGTGCCCACCTGGCCCCAGTTAATGGCCAAAGAACCTCCCCTCTCAACTCCATCTGGGGGACTCCTGCCCTCTGGTGAAAGGGAGCCCCTGAGTACCCACATGGCAAAACAAAGGTGACCTCTCCCTCTCGACCCCCAGGCAGGGGAACCCTTGCTTGGCGCTGGAAAGGTGCTCCTGAGTGCCCACATGGCCAGCAAAAACAAAGGGAGTTGCTAGACACGGCCCCTCTAGCAACAAGGGAACCTCCCCCTCCCGAGCCCCAGGCTGGGAAGCCCCTGCTCAATGCTGAAAAGGAGCTCCTGAGCCTCCCAAGTAGCCCCGGTTGTCCCTGAAACGGCTTGCGACACACACACCCTGCTCCCCAGACGCACCTCCAGTAAGCGCCGCTTGTTGTGGGAGGGGAGGGAAGCCGGCGCACGCTTCCCCCTTGGGTGATGAGAACCAAGTGGCCAAGAAATCCCAAACTTCGTCCCTGAAACCGCTTGCGACCCCCACCACCACTCCCGAGACGCACCTCTGGTAAGCGCCACTTGTTGTGGGTAGGGAAGCAAAAGGGGGCACAGCTCTCCTCCAGCACCACATTTCAAACAAATCAATTTTTTTCCTGTCAGCTTCCTTTCCTGTTCAGCTTTCACACTCATACATGATGATTGGAAATACAAGAGTGTGGATGATCTTGGTCTTGCTCTCCAGTCACACAACAACATAAATAATGTAGTTTGTGTACAGAGATATAAATTGCTTCTTGAGCACAGGGCTAGAAAGAAAAGGAAGACTTCACTGATTTTTTTTTACATTTTTAAGTCTTCAAATAACCTGCTAAAAGAAATTTCATCTTGCTTAAATTATATATTTTGACAGGTTTATGAGGGCTATGGTCAAACAGAATGTACAGCTGGTTGTACGTTTACCACTCCAGGGGACTGGACATCAGGTAACGATTAGTTAATTTGGTCATCTAAGCTTGAAAACAGGTCAGAATTCTAAGATGTCATGTTTACAAATATATGGATAATTGTATGTTGAAGTACAGTATATCTTTTCCAGTTTGTGACTTAGCTTTTTTTTCTGCCAAAGAGGCAAGAGCTTCTACAATCGGGCAGTGGCTTGTCTCTTCTGTATTAAATACCTCAGATACGCAAATTTCAAACAAAGCTTGGCCAGACTGTCTGGTACGTTAAATCTGATGTATACATTACTACTATGGATCCCAGTGATTCTGATAGATTATGGCCCTGTTTGGATTTGTCTTCTTCTGAGAAAAACTGCCATCAAGGAGGAGAGAGAGAGGCTCATGTACATGTTCTCTCTCTGCTGCTCCTCTTATTGTGGGAACTGTAATTTTCTAAAAGTGTTTTCACAGAATATCAGTTAACTACGCATACTACAAGTTATTACATAATTGTAATCTGAATTTAATGTATAATAATCATAAATTTGTCACTTTTTTTTTAATGACAAATATCCTTGGATGTGATTTTCAGGACATGTGGGAGCACCTTTGCCCTGTAATTTAATCAAGCTGGTGGACGTTGAAGAATTAAATTATTTTTCTTCCAAAGGAGAAGGAGAGGTAATGTGCGTTATTGTACCCACTGCTGTTTCACTGGTAGTTTATAAACCATGGAACCATTCATTAAGAATAAAGTTTTGTTTCTTTTCTATGCCAAGGGCTGGGAGTTTGTTTTAGTCCTCAGGAAGCAAGGCATGTGAACAAGTCAAAAATTTAGAGTAATTCTTTTAAATTACAAGTGGCCATCGAGTGGTCTCCCCAATTCTGGAAGTTTTCACTCAGACTAATTATTTCCAGGTTTCCAACCACCAGTTAACCCAGAAGGAGCCCAGGAAGTACTAAGTCTGTGTGAAAACTTCCAGGATCAATTAAGTCAATTAAAATTAAAAATATACATAATTTTATATACAAATAAATACACGACTGTACTATTAACCACTAAACAATTTAAGGCAATTTTAACCCATTTCAGATATGATGGGAAAGTACTTGGGAACTGTGCTTACATGTTTTGGCAGCTTTAGGGGAACATATTTTCCCT